TTGTAAATGTATATATGGGTGTGTGGGGATATATATATATTTATTTATATATTTATATTTATATTTATATATGTATATATATGTGTGTGTGTGTGTGTTTGTATGTGTGTATACATAAATATATTCTCTGTATATCAGTACTTTCAGTTAATGGTCATACAAAGGCATGTTTGCTTAATGCATCTATCTGAATTTGAGAATATGTAAACATGACCTGTGTTTTATTATCGAGACCCACAATCGCTTCAGCCAGGAATATAAACCTCCCTGGACAAACACACACACAAAACGTGTACGTGTTTATTCAGTGTTTCTCTTTGCCATCAGATGGGATGACGTCTTTGTTTCTTTGAGGTGTTGCCAATCAAGCTCATACATATGTACTTTGATAAAGAAAATTCGGTGATTCATTTTCATTTCTTCCTTTTGCATTTGGGCAGCGTCTCGAATCAAAAAGATCATGAAGAAAGATAACACTATCGGCCTTCTGAGTGCAGAAGCAATCTTTGTAACAGCCAAGGCTACGGTACTGTTTCCATATCAATTGTCTCGTCCATATTCGCGCTATACATCTTCGCACACGCACTGTTCTAACACTCGATCAACCGATTATATGGCATTGTTTTAGTGAAAGATTTCTGTTTTCACAATGAACATGTTGCCGCGATTCCATCGGTGCGGTTGTCTGTTTCAGGTGTCCGCGTTCTCATGTGTGTTCATTTTGTCCAAGAGCTTCACCTCCATTCCTGGATTCGATTTGGTCTTGTACACCCTCGCTTTAGCTTAGTGTTGTGAGTGTTCCCAACTGACGAGTGGCTGACGGCTTTTCTATATGCCATGCAATCAAACCCACACCGTAGGAACTATTTCTGGCTCACCTGGCCGAGAAAGGATATGATATTGCTCAAGGCGGCAAGCGGAAGACGATTAAGAATTCGGATCTGCGTAAGTATATGGCCATGCCCTGCACCGTACCAATTTCTGTGCAATCGTTCTGTGAGAGGGGGTGGATGCCGCTTGCGAGATGGCAGTTTTCTAGCTAAGTGTTTTGAATAACTATGTCAGCCTCCCAGATCATAGCTGAGTTGCACGCATTGTGATCGGACATTCGCCTCGATTGGGTTTGTTTGTGTTTGTTTGCTTATCTAGTGCAGAGATGGCAGATTGATAGTGTAAGAGGTGGTTGTTGTCACAACGCATTGCCATAGCCACGCACCCTGCATATTTTTTTTGCCAATCTCCACTGACTATCTATATGTTTGTAGTTCGCATCTATCTAAATAACACAATCGCGCCTGCACCTTCACAGTGAAAATAATTCAACAAAATGACAACTTTCAGTTTCTGGACGAGAAGGACCTCGGCATCACCTCATAAATGTACGCAATAAAACTTAGTCAATATATAGTCTTTCGTGAGAAAACACTGTCGGGTACATTTACTACAGGTTTTGGTATCGTTTACTTGTGTTAAGACGCCCAGTGGTACAAACGTGGTTGCCCAAATACAGTCTTATGCCTTGTGATGAGAAAATCCATAAATGTACTACTTCTGAAAGTTGCTGAGCGTTTTATTGGTTTGAAAATAATTGTTTCATCGAGTAGTGCCTAATTGCGCCTGCATATGCTACACGCTGGATCTATACCAGCGCAGATAAGAGACGAGATAAAAATATCTCAAGCACATCAAAAATATTGAGAGTCCCAATAAGCAAAACTCTCAGCACAGCGCTGTTTCTTAAATTGCCCTAGTGCACAGTAGCCTGGTCCGAAGCAAGGTATTTCTAGTTACAACAACGAAGACTCTTATGTTAGGTGCTTCACGCAATCGGTGCTCATTAAAGACTGCATGTGATAGAGGCCGCCTTGCCGCCGTGTTGTTTCCATAGGTTTGATATTGTCGACTGCGGTGGTATTGACTCCCAATATATAGATACATCAACAACTATATATATATATATATATATACATTGGAACGGTACTTTACATTAGTCTGTGCTCGTACACCTTATTGGTATTCGATTGCCACGACCTCTCTCTAACATACACCGTTGCCACATATAACAACTCATTTTGTTGTTAAATGCGCTGCAATTCGTTCTGTAGTACCAAATTCGCCTTCGTCCGCGTCTGAAATTCAAGGATTCAGCTTCGTCTGAAAAACAGATCTGAAATGTTCACAGCCATCAATTGAACGAATATTCGACGACAATATCCTCCGCATCGGGTCTGTAGTTGAAACATGTCGCTATGTGTGCTCCAGTTCATAAGAAATGATATAGTACTATCCTTCGACCGATGGCATATACGTATGGTGTCTCTTTCACATCTCGCTTACCGGTACAAACTATGCCTTCTTTTATCCATGAGATTGCATAAGACTAATGCTTATACCAAGGCGAATGAAGTCCTACAACGACACATTTCTAAATGTGATATCTCTTTATTCGCGAATATTAGGGTTTTAGTTATATCGCCATTCTCATCACCGTTGGTTGCCAGTGAGTCGATTAGCCACCGCTGCCGCGCCACACACCGATGTGCCCAGCGAGGTGCAGCTGATGTCTGTGCGCGTGTGGATGTCCCAAGAAATCTCTATCTGAAATGTTGACGAGCACATGACGGTGACGTGAGAAATTAGTGATAGCACATTGTACCCTCGTTCGCGCAACAATGTGCACAACGGAACTCGACATCCAGCACAGAGTATGTGAGTATATCAGAGAAAGCAGATAAATGCGATGTTGTTGCTTATTGGCGATTCTGAGAATGCGATCATTAAATACACAATCCAGGATTGCGCTGCGCAGGCGACTTGAGATATTGTCACTTGAAATACGCATACTCTGCTCACCGCAAAACCCCAATCTAGTATTACAAACCAGAGAAGCCTTACCTCTGGACAGGCTAGGGACAAGGCATGGTCCATATAATTGATGTACCCGGGCACCTGCGTTAATCCCCCGTGTAGAGCTATTGCGCATCTGTAGTGAGTCAAGATTAATGTGTAATTTTCATTCAGCATGGCGTATGGTCAGTGCTTTGGCAGGGCCTCAATGAGGAGAAGGCGCTCACAGAAGCTGTCAATTCAGTTCAGTGTAGCAAACAAGCGCAAGCTTCCATATCGACACTAAAACACTCACAATTGCGCCCACATTTAACGCATACACCACCAGTCATACTCGCATGCAGAAGGTGACACAATCCGTGGCAATGTAAGCAGTGCCCCAGCAATAGACAAATACGCATAGACTATATGCACATCAACGACCGAATTATTCGCCTATACCACCACAACCACACTCGCCTACAGAGAGTCACTTACTGTCCGCTGTCTTGAGACCGGTGCACCAGAGACGCTACACCTATACTAGCCAGTACAGCCGACCGCTTCAGCACAATCTCGCACAGTTGCTTGAGCAGCAGGCGCGTCCACAGGCCGCAGCGGATACCAAACTTTTCTTGGAGAAGTCGTTCCGTTTTCCACATACTTGCGGTATAGTCGCTGTGGTGTATGGTAATGGGCTGATGTATGAGCTTAGTTTCCCAGTTGCACAAACCAATGAGGACGAGCAAAGTCACGGACAGGAAATCGTGTAGAATGCACTACAGCAGATACAATGGGGGGCCTTATCCTGTTCCTCTAAATCAGAAGAGGTCCGTCTTGGAGTATGTGCTCCAGCAAAGCATGCAACGCATTTCAAGTCGCCATGAGTGCAAGTGTACCTGACGATGAACGTGACGTTTTCCAACATAAGCCTGGCCAGGGGGTTGTTGCTCGGCGTTTCAATTCTGATCTGTTCAGTATCGATAAGATGCGCCCACTCGTTCGCAATCAAGGCTGAGAAATGACAGGCGGAATTTATTGAGATACAAACAATCAAAATATAAGTACATGGAATGCACATATACTGATCGGGTACACAAAGACAGGAGTAGAATATGACATTGACAAATTAAGTAAATAACCGATATTGACATACTCAGAAGAATCGCACCTCGTTTGACTACATACAATACAGGAATTAGGGCCGATCGCAACACAATGGGTCGAAGTACACCCCAATTAATATATGGACCAAAATTCATAACAACTCACAGAAGCTCCAATCAGAATGGTGCTGGTGAGCCTATGAAACTACACATGCACTGCTTAGACTGAACTGGCCACCACTGCACACTTTTCTGATGTTCGCATGGGTGTCTCAAGCGCTGATAGCGTACGATTAGGGTTTCGAGTCCTGAACCTTACTTGTCACTGTAGACCCACATGTCAGTAAGTCGTATTCATTTTGTAGGCCTCTCGTTATGGCCACTTCTTCCTCAAGCAATTTGATGGATGCCGACATTTTGTATTCGCCCCATTGTGTATTCACAAGTTTATCTGAACAGTGTCGTAAAGATCAATTCAGATTAAATAAAGTAGATACGGGCTTGGACTCTTGCTAATCATACTTCGGCCATAGACTAGATAGTCAAGGCAAAGAAGACAATCTCCACACAAAAGCATACACAAGTACCAATACTGTTGCAAGAGAACACAAACAGAGAGAAACACTCCACACAATAACAGCAAACAACTCAAACAGCTTACACACATTTAATGGCATCGCCTGGCACAGCTACGCTCGCGCCTTTGGTGATTTTGTGTCCGTCGGAGAGACGCTCCAGATAGCAGGCGTTCGTGCCCTGCTGTTCAATAACCACACCTATCCTACACTTGTTGCCTTTTAAGCGGGCCGCAGCGAACGTGGCGGTTGTGTCGTTGACCAGCGCGACAATCGGATTCTCTACTCGCCTGATATGTGTGGGTGTGAGAGGGGCGATGATGGATGTTACCGTATACACTACAGAGGATTAGAGGTGTGGACTAGGCTAAAGATAAGCTGAAGTCAGCGCCAATTTAATGACAACAGGGATATGCCCATCACCAGTAGAGACACAGCATCAAGCAAGCAAATTGTACCAGCGACAGCGAAATCTAACCAAAAGAACCTAACAACCCAGGTGTTCTTTCTGAATAACGCTTTGACAGTGACAGTATAGTCCACATACTTTTTCCTTAGCTCGGCAGTCAATAGATCGTTGAAGTCTTTCCCGATAGCATCAGGCAGGTCATATCCCTTGGTCCAGCCAAGTATCGTGCCTTGAAAGTATTTTTTTTGAATAAGAAATGAGAAACCATAGTCACTCTGTCTTCTATTGAAGGAATTCCGGCAGAGCCAAACCAAAGTGACTGGCGTCAAAGATGAATTTATCAGAAATAACGCGCACAGGTTACACTTTAGTGCATGCTACACCGCATTGTCTCGGTACAAATGGAGTACATGGTTGCTATTGGTCGCCACATCAGAGTACACCAAACGACAAATACAGCAGAAGACTTACCTCGCGAGCGTTCCGTTTGATTATAGGGCTGAGGGAAACTCACACTGATTGGCACCTGTGCGTCTTGGGCATTAACGAACTCTGGGAAGTGCGTCGCGATGCAAGATGCGTACAGGGCAAAAAGATTCTGTGATCGGGAATTGGTTCATGCATGAGCAGTACCAATATGAGATTGTCAATCGGTGGGTTTAGGAACGGCGATCTTGGACTGCTCAGATGGTATCGTGAATTGGGGTGGCTTGTAACTTGATGCCATCTGACCACAGAATGCACGGTCGAGACTGACCAAGTGTACCACTCACTTACTGACGCTCTAATAAGAATCATATGGCGTGTCGATAAGCAAAGCACAAAGCGACAGCTGCGCAGGCACTTACTTGGGATTTTCCCTTTTGGAACATATCAGGAACGGCAAATCGTTTCCTGCGAGACACCGAGATTTGTTTCTTGCTCGACAACGTCGCGAGCAGCAGTTCAAAGCAGTCCGGCTGAATATCCAAAACCACATAGGGCCCTGGAGACAACCGCTTGAGCCTGTGGAAGGACGGGTATGGAATGGGTCGGTTAGAACAAGAACACCATCACGGGATCGTCAACAATTGCGAGTACATATACGCGTAGTTAGAGGATGTGTACATTCCGCTGGGTTGAAACTATGGGATTTACCAGCGCACTATTCTCATCACAACAATGTCCCAGAACGAAGACTGCAGAGTGATATACACGACCATTGCATTACTGCAACAACAATTCAAGTGCGGCAGCCAGCAAGTACGCTAGAAAGTCATCTCATCCCATGGAAACAACACGCCAGTTATGTCCCCGCCGCAAGGGATGTCGGCAGGTATTCGAGACCACCCACACACGTATGGCTATAAGGCGAGTGCATTATTCTGCGAGGTAATCGTAATCGCAATGTCATCGCCTTCGATACTCTACTACCACTACCGTGCGAACATTTCACAACACATCTCAGAGTTGCTATGGGGGGAAAACTCACAGCACATACTGAGAATGGGATCTTATTTTCTCACGAGTGACATGATCCAATGCAAAGACTGCGCACACAACAATGCGTACGATATCCATTCCGGCCTAGGTGTCACAGCTATGACACACAGCTTACAAATCAGTGCATATACATACCCAGTGCCGCTTGAAGCGAACGTTTCAATCATCTTCAGCTCCGCGCTTTCATCTAGTTGTCAGTCCGAGCAAATCGAATCGTAATATCAGAACAATAGAATTTTCTCAAGTGCTATTTTGCCAAACGTTACCCAAGTAAGTCCGTTCTATCAGCGTATACACTATGGACCATTGGTTAATTCAGTGCATCCCACCTCAGCACAAAATAAGTTTTCTCAAGTACTATTTTTCTAAACGCTACCCAATTAAGTCCGCTCTACCAGCGTATTTACTACAGCCGAACGCCATGACGATGACATACCATGTGCTGTAAGGCCTTTCTCTGCCTCGTCTGTGAATCTCTGGCGCGCCTTGGTCAAGTCTTCCGTCGCTATGGCATATTTCTACAGCGCGAACACAGGTCGACGGGGAGATGGATTCAATCAGTGAAGAAATAAAAGAAAATTGTTCTGAATATAAGTACACCACTGCATGATTCGCTGATAACACTCGCGTGGCATATGTGTGCTGTGAATTATCTGGTGCTTTAATCAACGAAGCACCGAGCAAACACAACCACCAGAAGTTCGCAGCCACACATGATTCAGATACTGGACCACGCGTAACAGCATTGAACCTTTTTGGCGTATCTAACTACATATCCACAAGCACCGCCCCCAAAACTAACGGATTGCCAACTGAGTCTGCCGCCGTATGGCAACGATCTACCAGTCGTATAGGTACATATGCCTCCACAAACGAAACGCGATAACAACCATACAAGCATTTTACGACTGGGCGCTTCTGTGTTTTTGACCATGAGAAGATTCGAGCTACATTGTGCAATACACAACGTGGGCCTGTCGAGCCACAGCTGAAACGTAGTGTGTATAAATACCCACCTCTGAGAATCTCCTGCCAATCTCCATTAAACCTTCGACAGGGTCCTGGAAGAAATGAGTGCGATACTATTAATATAATAAACTATCCGCCTGATTAGATAGCACTTCGAAATGTGTTCCGTGAAGGCTGCACAGGTAACACAGTCCCCGAGCGAGTCGCGAGTGGCTCAGATTGGCTACTATTCCCCGTGGTATCTCAAAATTGTGTACTCCATACATATATTAAAGTGTGACACTGTGAAACCCGTACCTCATACAAGCAAGACACGAACCTTCGAATATATGTATTTCCATACTGGACAGAGCGAGATTAGACAGGGATGCAAAATGCTAAATAAATGCGTATCCGTATACGTGTACGTATATATATATATATATATATATATATATATATGTGTGTGTGTGTGTGTGTGTGTGTGTGTGTGTGTGTGT